CCCGTCTCGGCCTCGGGAACCGGGTGAAGCAGCAGGGCCACCTCGGCGCTTTTCAGCAGCAGCCCCACGCAGACGTCGCCCTGGCCCCTGTGCGTCCCGGCCGCCGGCTCCAGGTCCCCCTGCAGGGTCTGCTGCAGGGTCCGGAGGGACTGCTGGAGGCGCAGCAGGAACAGGTACTGGTAGTGGCTGACCTGCAGGCTCAGGTGCTTCTGGACGTGCACCAGGACGTGGACGCCCGCCTCCCCGGGAGAGGGGGCGGACTGGGAAGACGTGGGAAGGCCGTCCAGGGAGTGCGGCTTCCTGATGCCGTTGGTCACCGGCTCGGAGTCCGTGCTGTAGTAATCCTTCAGGAGCTTCTTGCGCTGCAGCCGGCTGCTCAGCTCTGCCGACTCGCTCTTCGGGATGCCCGGAGGGGCGTGTAGGTGCTCCTGGCTCTGGGCGTGCCTGGCAGGCTGGCACACCCAGATGGAGAGGGGAAAGGAGTCCACAAAGGGCACCGGCCGACCCCTCCCGCTCTTCATCCCTTCGTAGTCCACCCAGAACTGCGAGAAATGCACAGCCCACAGGTCGGTGGCAGCCAAGGTCTTCAGTGCGTTTGTGCTCAGGCTGGGCGTGACGAAGCCCCTGTAGATGTCGTGCATCTTCGTGTCCTGCTCGTGGGCGTGCCTCTGGAACACCGGGTGCAGGACGCTGAAGCTGTCCGGCCTTTTGGGGAAGCTCGTGAAGGCGCTGCTGAAGAACTCCTGCTCCTTGAAATCCTGCAGCACGGCCTCCAGGCTGGAGCGCGTGCACTTGGAGGAGTGCCTGGTGTTGGTGGCGACCATTTCCGAGGTCTGGACGGAGATGGAGCGCGGGAGGTCTGGGTGGCCCTTCAGCTCCTTCTCCAAGGGAACGATCAGCTGGGAGAGGGACAAGAACGACACGGATGAAGTGGGGGGAAAAAAAGCAGTGATGAGGCTTAATGAACATAACTTAAGGGGGAACAACCGAATAGATTTAAAGTCCGGATGAACCTGCAATGTAGCACAACACAGCCAATCTCTCTCTCCCACCCAAAAAAAGGGACTATTGAGAACCAAAATTCCTATTGCATTCTAAATGTTTGCTTTCATATCAACTTTTACAAAATGCTTTTGCGCCTCTACAAGGATATTGTGTCCTAAGAAAGGCGATGTTTAGTTCAGCTCCGGCAACGGGGCAGCTGGATCTCGACTGGACGCCCCCTGGTGAAGCCCGGCGCACCTTCAGCATCAGCCCGTCCACTCTGAAGTCCACGTGCTCGTCGGGCTTCTCGTGGTCGTCCAGCTTGTACAGGGCCATGAACTGCTCCAGGCTCTGCCGCAGGTCCAGCGCGAACTGGTTCAGCCACACCAGGCTCCGGCCGTCCAGCACCAGCTGCAGGGCGTTGAGCTGCACGTACAGGTTGGGGCAGGGGACTGCAGAGAGCGAGGGAGACCTCAGACACCAGGAGCGCTTCACATTGAATAACCCCCCCAACACCACTACTGCTGCTGCTTGTAAACGTCACTCCACACAGCACCTTTCACAGTTACGTCTCAAAGCGCTTTCCAGTAAGAAAAAGAGGGAACAAGGAGAAGAGGTACCAAAACTAGCACAACTGGAAAACAAGGGTTGGGAGTACGGAGGAGGAAGCAAGGGGCAGCCTTCCTGAAGAAGGGGGCTTTTGAGTCTCGACCTGAATGCGCTCAGGGAAGGTGGCTCCCTGACACTCTTAGGGACTGAACACCTGAGCACTGAGGCATAGCCAGAGAGGGAAAGTTGAAGTCTTGGCGAGGTTTGTATTTAGCAGGTGTGCCTTTGTTCCATTTCTCTCACACGTTAAGACAGCAGAGTGGAGAAGTGTTCAGGGCTCAGGACTTGAGACTGGGGGGGGCTCAGTCGGGGAGCTGCTGGTGTCCCCTGGAGTCCTGTACATTGCTCAAGACTGCTCCGGTGAAATGAACTGCTCAGCAGTACATATTGTATGGGTACAAACAAAAGTCACTTTGGATCAAAGCATCAAGCAAATGGAATAATAATAAAGCTGTGAAATTAGATTGGGATTTTCACAGCTTTATTATTATACTTCCCTGCATATGAGTACAGTACATCACCACTGCTAGTACAGATGTGACAGCAAAGCCTTTTTTCCCTAATAACTTAAGCTATAAATCAACATAGAATAATCAGCACTCATTATTTGTGCTAAACTATGATGCACTAGTCCTGTTATGCTGGCAATGTTACTACAAATGGTCAGAGCACTTCAATTGACTCATGATGCATTAGTTTGATGATCAAGGTTCCTTTTACCCCACTGATGATGTGTTGTTGCAGTAGTAACCTTACACAGCACGACAGGAACTGCAGATTCTGACATTGGAAGTCTTTGACTGAGGAGCCAACCATGTGAAGCTCCCGTCTTTGGGATTATGATCGGACACCTCTAAGTCAGAATCCCCCTAAAAAGGGGACAGGTCGACACTATATGCATCAAGAACAGATCTGCGTGAAGTCTGAGGAAAAGCCTTGCAGGTACAGAAATCTGACTCTGACCTGGGGTCATTACTCCTGACCTGGCTTAAATGCACTGTAAACAGACTGCTCTACGTGACATGTCACTGCGATACGTGCTGTAGATGACACCCTAGGAATAGCTGAAAGGTGGGAAGAACATCATCAGGAAAAGCCACTGGGCCATGAGAGGAAATATTTCCTATGACCCAATAGGGCTGATGGTGGTCACTCTTACAAACCCATTCATGGTGATAACATAGGGCGACCATGGTTGGTCCCAGACTATAAAACCGTCTGCAACACTGCTGGAGCTCAGGACACTATGGGGGATGTGTGTCGTCTCCCAATGTCCAGTGGATATGGCCACTTTCATCACAAACTTGTGTCAAACCTCCACTGGACTGCGCAGTGACCCCTACACTGGGCACTCACTCGGGTAGTCCTTTCCGTCGGGAAAGTAGTACTCTGTGAATTCCAGATGAACGGCTGGCATTTCCTGGGGAAGGTAGAGAGTCCTCTTGTTGCAAGAGACCATGGCTTTGGGGACTGAACGATGCTGCTCCGCGGTGGACACCTAACACATTAAAACAAGGATGATCAGAAACGTGCATTTCACAAATACAATAAGTTAGGCAGCTGTTACTGTTCTGGTGCAGTGCAGGGGAAGTCCTGGCACAGCCCAGACCCAGACCCGACTCCGGAAGAACTGCCCAAGAGTGATCACTTTATAATGAGTACAGACGTTTAATATTCCTTCAATTCAACTGATTCCATATCAGAATCAGAGCAACCTAACTACCATAAACAGCCCATTAATCTGAAAAGATGCACCCAAGGACAGGTAAACTCTATTTGAGCTCCTCAGATGGAATTACGTACAGTAGACTTAGAAGATCAGAATCAAATCTGCTAGCTTTATCTTACTGCCAGAGCACACAAACATCAGATAACCCCTTCTTTTAATCACAATAATTCCTTACACTTAGACAGCTCTTTTCTGGACACTCCACTCAAAGCGCTTTACAGGTAATGGGGATCCCCTCCACCACCACCAGTGTGCAGCCCCACCTGGATGATGCACCAGTACTCTCCCTACACACCAGTTCTCAGTGGGGAGGAGAACAAAGTGATGGAGCCAGTTCAGAGATGGGGATTATTAGGAGGTCATGATTGGTAAATGCCGGGTGGAAATTTGGTCAGAACACCAGAATATTACCCTTACTCTTTTTGAGAGATGCCCTGGGATTTTTAATGATCACAGAGAATCAGGACTCCATTTTTACATCTCATCAAAACAATGGCGCCTTTTTACAGTAGTGTCCCTGTCACTATAATGGGGCATTAGGACCCACACAGACCGTGAGGTGAGCGCCCCCTACTGGCCCCACTATCACCTCTCCCAGCAGCAGCCTTAGCTTTCCGAGGACGTCTCCCATCCAGCTACTGGCCAGGCTCACACCTGCTGAGCTATGACTCATATCTGCAACCCAATATATGTGATGAATCAAACTGAGCACCATATTCAAAATAGGTCAACGTTAGCAAGTAGGTTTCCTGTGCAGAAATAAAAAAACAGGTACAAGCAGGTACCAAGCTGAACAATGACCTGGTAGATACTGAAGTCTGCCATCCTTAGCACAATGGAGCTGGATATTAATTGGGTCTTGGGCTGCTGGCTGGGTGTGGAGAATGCATTGGTTGAAGTAGTGGAGATCTTTCCTGTAGAAAGAAAGCAATTTAAACCTTCATTTACAAAAGACTCTTAGTTTCCATCCACGAAGAGTAACAAACGGAGCCAAAACAAGACAGATAAGAAAGATACTAAGCTCTTCCATAAAAGGTTGATTGTATCGAGTTTTGATTTGAAGTGTTAATGACATTTTAGACTAAGGGGGCAAATTAGTTTCTCCATAAGTCTGGCAACGATAGTTTTATGAATAAGAACTGAAGATTAGGAAGGCTTTGCAGGAATATTTGCACGGAGCACTTTCTGTAGTGTCGGGACAGAGGAGAGCCAGTAACCTGAGGCGCCGTGCTGTGGAGACCCCTGCGATGTGGCTGAGGCCGGAGCTTGGGAGGCGACCCGGTGGTCTTTCACGGCATTCTTCAGCATGTCCACGTTGGCCCGGAACTCATCCAGGATGCTCTTGGCCCAGGTTTCTCGGGATTTCGTCGCCTCACTGTAGTGCATCCAGTGCGCACAGCTCTCACCTGAGCACAGCAGGGAGACAGGACAGGACCGCGCTGACTTCACGGCACACACATCCACAGGCGGGCCCGGTGCAGGTGAGGTGAGCTAGTTACACTGCAGGCTGAGAGGCTGACTTTAAAAGTCCAGAGACCCGTGAAGGGAGACCCCATACACCAAACCTGGGAAAATCGAGAATGCACACCTCTGGACTTGCATTATAAGTAGCAACACTACTGCGTTCTTAGATCTTTTCTTACAAAGTATAAAAATGAGTGCTTTTTTAATTTGGAGCCATCTGATAGTTTGCTTTTTATACCCTCTCAAAGTGGAACTACCAGGCAGTTACCAGTGCAGAGGAATGAGGCCTGGGCATGCTTCCACACCACACAGCGGTCGCCTGCTCTGCACTCGGACCCAGGACCGTCACCAGGACCCTCTGGCTCTGGACTACTCAGCAGCAGGGGTTAACAAGCACTGCTAGACTCCCAGAGAGCACCCTGACTGACCGATCCACTCTGGGACAGCCCCAGTCCAGCAGGTTTCTACACCTTAGCCAGCCAAGTAACTGCTCAATGATCGATTAAGTCATTTAGAGATTGTATAAAATAAAAATCAGAAACAATCCCCCAACACCCTTAGTGACCAGAGCTGACCACTTCTGATCTAATCCAACCTGAAACTAGACTATTATATTTATAATGAACTTGCGTGGCGATTCAGGTTGACCAATAAAACCTACAGAACTGTTGGTTCTCCAGGTCTAAGGCTGAAGACCACTGCCTCAGAGGCACTGTCAGTCTTTTCTGTCCATAATTCTCTCACCATATTAAGGAAAACAGTTGCAACACCTCCTACAGGAAAGGTCAGGAGGACCTGCTTGTACTGTGACTATACACCCTGTGCGAGTGCTGGTGTGCCTCACCTGCTCTGTGAAAGGGGTAGTAATCCACAGTCACCTCACTGAACGACAGCTGCATCGCTCCCCCAGTGATGCTTTTATTGATTCCTACAGTGAAAAAGAAAAAAAACATCACCAAGGGCTAGAACCCTCACAGCTAGCTCTCTCTGAACTGCAGGTCCAACAACGGTTAAAAGCACTTAAGATAAGGCAAGATGACTTTACTGGCCATATACAATTTCTTGTAGGAGGAATTTGTCTTTTCACAGACCCCAGCTTGCTCTCCACACAGACAGGGAGAGAAGCTGGGGGTCAGAGCGCAGGGTCAGCCGTTTATACAGCACCCCTGGAGCAGCTGGGGTGAAGGGCCTTGCTCAGGGGCCCAACGGAGTAGGATTCCTCTGCTTTGAGTTTTTGATTTGAACCGGCAACCTTCCAGTCACAGGCGCAGATCCTGAGCCACAGAGCCACCGCTCCACCCCTTACCTCAACCCTCAGAAAATCAGCTTGTGACCAGCCCGCTTCAAGTTATTTAAGACAAGTAAAATCTCACAGTCAGGACTCCTGACTCCTCCGAAACATTATAAAACATTAAAAATGTTTCAGGAACCAAAAGCAGAAGGTTTTGCTTTGCAGCTGCCATTATTCACACACACACATCAAACACCTTCCAGATGATGGCCTGCAATACGAGCAGGCAGCTGCTTTGAATCATGGGTATGCATATTAATCAGATCAGAACTACCTAAAGAGAATCTAACTCCGCCCTGAGAGCTGGCCAAAGCTGATTAATATTCATACATACAGAATACAGGGTATAAAACTAGTCATTATATCCCACTGCAGCGTGATGTTACAATTCAGTACACTTCCATGCAACACTGCAGTGTGGGCTGAAAAAGACTCCTTGGATACAAACAGGAGGAACAGCTCGGCTTCCTGACAAAAATGGCACAGCAGGGCAGTAAAGAGACTTCCTCACTCTACAGGGGTAACGTACAAAAGGTACGCCTGGCAACGCACAGCGGAGTAATGCATTGCAATATAGATTGCTGATATAAAATGCATTGAAAAGCCACCCTCAGACACTCGCTTTGGAACTTAAGCCAGCTGGCACTGAACCAGCGTCACGCTGCTCCCAGTGCGATCACGGTGATATATATTGAACAACGGAACAGAATCCCACTCCCAGCGGCTGAAACGGAGGAGAGCGGCGCGGCGCTGACCGGCAGCCAGCGGCTCCCCGTCTCGCAGGACGTTACCCCTGTCCTTGGAGTGAATGTCGTCGCAGATGTGCAGGTCGAGGTGCGTGATCTGCAGGTGGTGGGAGGTTTCCCTGACGTCGTAGGAGCTGAAGAGCTTGGCAATGGTGGCGTTCTGATCGGCGGGCGTCTGCTGAGCGCGCACCTGCTGGGAGGCCGGGGCCGGGATCGCGCCCTGCAAGACAAGGGCAACCTCACAGCAGGGGAACGCAGCCGCAGTTCAGCGCGGAAACACCAGGGGGCAACATGCAGGCAACAGGACGGGAAAACAGGCTTGGAGTGAGCAGCTGTAGAGTAGACCCATAGGCAAAACACTGGGCAGGGGTTTAATACTCTTGTTTCAGAGTATTAAAATGCTGATTTATGCAATTCCTTGCTGTCATAAATATGAAATCCAACAATGATAACAGAAGCAGCACGGAGATTTCCATACAATGGAAAACTGAATTAAGTGTGCATATTCACAATACTAATACTAAAATGAAAGGGTGCATGTTCATGATGCCACTGCTTGTTGTGGCTGCCATAATCTGAGAAACTAATGCCGCACAAACAGAAAACATGTTGGCAAATATACACATATAGCCTGGGGTTGGGCGCTTCAGATAGTTACTACCTTCTAATCTTCTTAATGCCTTCTAATGGCCTTGTTCGTTTTGTAGAGTCTACGACTGCAGATGTGATTTTGAGGGTCTGAGCTCTAAAGATGACAATAGAAGCCCCAACATGCAGCACCATTTCCCACCAGCAGGTGGTGCACCAACACAAGTCATCGAGACGGAAGCACAAATGTTTTAACATGAGCAAAAGGAATCGGTGCAAAAACGATTGTTAAGATTTCAAGAACATAAGGAAGGATGTTTAAGAAAGAATGCAAATGAAAGGACCCGTTAGACCCATTTTGCTCATTTGGCAGTCTGACAGTCAACGTAAAGTTTAACTCAGCCATTTCTTAGAAGCACACAGAGTCTGAAACTCATATGCTTGAGAAATGAAAAGAAAGGCCTCCTGTTCTTCATCCTTACTGAATTCCTGCTTAGCTGCCAGGTGTGTCCCTGTGCCCTTGTTTCAGTGCTGATTGTAAAACCGTGCCCCGGCCTGAACTTTTCTATTCCCTCTAAGATCACAGATACAGCACCTGAAATCACCTCCCAACCTGCTTTGTTCCTCCTAAACTGAAGAGACTGAGCTTCCCTATCCTGTCCTATAGACCAGCCTCCTGAGAGCGGCAGCTAAGTCTCAGCCACGCGTCCTTCACCACGTCACGGGCATCACTGGCCCGTCCAGGGCAGTTCAGCTTTGGGTGGAAGGAGGAGTCCCGCGCCAGCAGTACCACAGCGAGCCAAGAACACCCTGGCCCAATAATCCCACCCAGCTTTCCATCAGCGGCTCTCTGAGGCACAGCGACCCCCAGGGTCACGGTCCGCCACTGACCTGACACCACTCGGAGACCCCAGCCTTAACTCGGTACAAACAACGATTTGATTACGTGAGCCATACTGCAGGCCCACGGTTATTTTTTTTGGTTACTGCTTCCCCATGAGTCTACACAAACAGCTGGTCCGTTTTGTACATCGCTTCCTGCGGTGCTGAATCAGCCATGCCGAACATAGAGTGAATGAGCCTACTACCTACTCACAGTGCGCTTGTCAAAGTGAATTTCATTTGCCAAGTGTCTGCCTTCTCCACAGTTCTGTCTCAATACACATGTAATTCCCTTGCTTCTGTGTCTGTGTGCCACTCCCCCTATTTTAGTACTACCTGCAAATGTAACTATATTGGCAACTCTAGCCGAATCAACATGGTTGATACTGTATAGATCACAAAGAACAAAGGCCCTAAAATGGTTCCCAGTGGCACACCACTGCTTACATCTGGCCAATTAGAGGTTATACCACTTAAGCAGGCATTGAACATTGTTCATTGTTTTCCAGCTCTCATTACCTTGGATTCCAGAGGTATCTTATCAAACACCTTCTGGAACTGTAAATACCTGTATTTTATGTTAAAGCAGTTCAGGTGGGTAGCTGCGTCAGCATGTGTAGGCTACAAAGGAACAAGTAATAGATTTACTCCATGCTGAAAAGAGAAGAGAGAAAACACAACGTTTTGGCCGCAGAGTCTTCTCACACTTGAAGAAGGCTCCACAGCCGAAACGTTGTGTTTTCTCTCTTCTCTTTTCAGCATGGAATAAACCTATTACTTGTTCCTGTATTTTATGTTGTCTGCTTTAGTTTTACCTCCTCATTGCCCGTTTGAAGAATTCTATCAAATTAGATAACAGGATTTTCCGTCCATCCATGTTCTAATGTCTTTATCCTGTACAATTCCAAATTTATCCGATGTCAATTCCAAAACTTTGCCTGTGACAGAAATAAGACTGATTGGCATATACTTTCATGGTTCAGTTCTACGAACTGTTCAGTACAGTTTTATGAACTGCAGTTACATCAGCAATCCTCCAACCTATAGGTACTGCTCACAATCTAAGTAAGAGCTAGGCATCTATAAATAACATCCTTTCGCCTCCTTGACAATGACTGGGAAAATACCATCAGGACCTTGCAGGTTATTGGTTTTTAGTTGTCCTAGTCATAACCTCAATCTCAGTTATGTTGACGAAGCTTGTAACACACACTCCTTCTATTACAGAGACATTTTATTGATGATTTTGGTTGTAAAAAAGTGAGTGAAATAGTGTTTACTATTTCTTTACAATTAGAATTTTAGTGCTGCAGCTGTGAAGAAAAACAGTTTTTCCTCTAATGCAATATTCTTTTTTTGTCTCCCACTTAGGAACTATCTTTTTCAGCTGCTCCTGAAGCCTGGTATATTCTTATTCCATCTCTGAATCTTGGGTCCTTCTACACAGTCTGTAAATCATTCTATTCACATGAATGTTTTTAAATATCTCCAGTAAACTATTTACACCATATTTCCCTAGTCCTGGACTTCATTGTTTTACAGATGAATTCTTTTTGAGTCATTAACATCACATTCAGACTAGTATTCTCAAGATACCACTGCACTGCTTTGTAATAACCACAGCGAGCACGTCAGTTGTTTGGATCCTTACCAAAGCAGCTTTGTCTGGTTTATCTAAACAGTGCGTCTTAACAAGAAAAGATGCATAAACTGTGGCTTATGAGGACAATTATTAGACACTCCAGATAAAGCTGTATCAGGCTAATGGCCATCAGTTCTTTAAAAACTATACAATGCTTTTTCAAACTGCTGGTAAATCGAGAGACCTTATAAGGCCAGAATTCAAATCTGCCGTTTGGCAGATGGGTGAAAAGGCCTGGACTGTATGCCAGGAATATGAAACTGTAGGCCAAAAACTATCCCCTGCACTTGGCAGATGCTGTCCTACATTTCTCAACACTTGGGTAAGCATTCAATCTCTGAAATCGCACAAAGTGCAGCTAAGCACACGGTCAGCCAGGCAGATACACAAAGGAAAAAGGGTTTAGAGGCTGAAATCACTGCTCTTTTCCGACCCACCACGTGAAGTCACTGGAAAGCAGTGGGTGGAGAGATTACCACAGTGGACACAGGGAAAGCACAGGTGCCAATTCTGCAGTAAGAGCAAAGCACACCCTGAACGCTGCCTCTGTACACTGTAATCAAGGCAACAGGAATGGCTTCTCATAGGAGCTCTGAGACACCAGAATGGTAATTTCATGGGCAACTGTGGCAAAGCAACAGCCTGGAAGAACACACAAGAACTCAGCTCACCGCGGCACAGGGCTCGGACACCAGAGCTCACCGCGGCACAGGGCTCGGACACCAGAGCTCTGTAATTAGGCTCTAGAATGCAATGTTACTGAACACAAATGAATGGCGTGCTTCTACTAATCAACTGTAATAACTGAGGCCCTTGTCATGCTTTTATTGACTGTTCCGCGTGTCTGCTGAGGGCCGTAAGAGGACACAGCCCTACCTGCGTGGACTCGGACGCCATGCTCTTCCTCTGCTGGGCAGACTTCTCCATGGCTTCGCTGAGAGACTTGGCGTACTGGACCATAGCTTTCAGCTGAGAGTCGGTCAGCACCCACAGCAGGTCATCCAAGACCAGAATCAACTTCGATGCCACCACATTGCAATCTTTCAACTGCATGGCAAGAAAACAAGGAACAGAAACATGGGGCTGCTGTGAAACTGGAGACCAACTGATCCATTATTACAAAGCTGCTCATTACTGGTAGGAGATGCGATAAACTTAAGGTGATATCACTTCACCTCGCGTGAAGAAAATGCAAACCCCACACAGAATGCACCCCAAAACTGAATCAGCTATGAGGAATAACTGCTGCACTGCTGTCAAAGACAACGACCTTCAAGCAAATAAAACCTGCTCATTCAGTTTCTCTCAGACAAATAAATTATTGAAACCAAAGAATGAGTGCACAGAAACTTAATGCTTAATATTTCAGCCTAAAACGGGACTCATCACTGACTCCTAATGACATTTTAACAGGTTGTCTGAACAACTTCAACTTAGTTTTATAATATACCGTACACCCTGACTCAGCAGGTTTGCGTGTGTCTGTTTAATTCTCAAACAGAGATTAAGAGACCACTACCAAAAACTTTACATAGACGTTCTTGTTCTGTGTGAAAAGGATTTTAAGAAACCTTACTGCTAACACACATAGTCTCTCTTTTGCTTTTGCTTCTCTTCTTCACCAGCTTACCCTCCTCTTGAGCGTGACTCTGATTTTGGACTGATTGGTGATCAGCCGCACCGGTGCGCTCAGGACTTCGTGATCGCCACTCTGGATGGCATCCGCCTCTATCCTGATCATCTGCCAGCTGATTTCTTTAAACGTCAGTACCTGCAAAGTTAAAGACCGCTGCGTTTATTTCACGCTGCAGACTGCGTTTGTCTTCAGTCGGCCCGACAGCCAGTCGAAAACGGACCTGGATTCCAGGCCCCAGCAGGCACCAGGAATTCAGATCAACACTGCTCCTGTGGCTATGAACACAAACCAAGGGAGATCTCCTCTTATGCACTGAAATATCAAAGACTGGACTGGAATTAAAAAAAAAAACCTAAGTTAGTGCAGTAGCCTGAAAGATGAAAATGAGCACCCTCAAAATAAAGTGTAAAGTGTAAATACTGGTGTAAAGCCATTCACACCAGTGGCACAAATATCAGGGCCCTGTTACAAAGCAAGCCCCATAAGCATGTACAGGGCTTGGGGGTTTGTGGCCGATCCATGGCGTGCTCTGCGTTTTGACACACATCCTCTCTGCCGGTTACCTCTCCTCGCTGGGGGTCCAGTATCCTCGTGAAGCGCAGGTCGCTCAGCTGCCAGCTGGTGTTGACGCTGTACACTTTCAGCTGGGACAGCTCGAAGGAGGCGTTGAAGGCTTTCGCCTTGATCCTGATCACGATGGAGTTGACCGAGAGGGAGATGCCCTCCACCACCTTCTCGGCGAAGCCATACTCGCTGCGAGGAGAGAGAAAGGCGAGAGCCGCCAGGGTCACGCTCAAAAAGGTGCTTTAAAAAATGGAACGCTTCTTGCCGAATTGGTAGAGACAGATGAGGAAACCCCCAGAGATACAACTTGGCCCTCAAATCTCACAGGCACAGAAGGAAACGCTGGGCGAGGTCTGGAGGTTTGAGCTGAGGTCAGTCGTGTGTCTGTTCTCACATACCGATCAGAGAAACTACATGGGTTCTGAATGACCATCTCAAACACAAAGCAAAAGCAGGGTTTAGATCTAAAAAAATCTACGACGAAACACCTAAAAGTTTTTTTACGTATGCAGTTACAGTGGATATAAAAAGTCTACACAATTATTTTCCTCAAAAGGATCTATTTGTTTTTCTCTTGAATTTTGTTGTTGCAAGGTCACATTAGAGATGAAAAAATGTCAGAGATGGATTTATCTTAATTTCTGGCTTTACATCACAAAACCCTGCAATTTCAATAAGGGTGTGGAGACTTTTTATATCCACTGTAGATGAAATGCATTACCAGACAAAACATGGAGCCCAACAACCACACAGAGCGGGTGTGTTAATGCTTATTCAATAGAACAACATAAGAAAGGTTACAAATCAGCCCATTCATGCCATCTAGCTAATTTACTGTAGCTGCGAGGCTTTCAGAGATGGGAGGATCCAGAAGGAAGCCAGAGTTATCGGCTTCAACAACATGGCTGGAGAACATGGGGTACATCACTCTGCTTTCCTTGGGAGCAGAAAGTGTAAGACATGATAGCGTCAAAGCAGAGCATTTTACAATCCATTACCTAACGTACCAGACGAAAAACGGAAAAGACCAAGTAATAAGACAGAAAGACGGGGATTAAAAGGCAGAGAGTGGGTACTGGGTGTACACCATGAGCCTCACCTTTGACCTGAGGCTGTAGCAATAGGGGAAGGCCCGTTCGGTGGCCGCGGTTCCTCACAGGTGCTCATTTCCATCACAACTTTATCCAGGTACTAAAACAAACACAGATGATATCGTGACCTCGTTGCACAACAGCAAGGCCCGGGAAGGGAATGCTCTGGCGCTCTCCAGGACACTTGGCTGAAGTGCATGCAAGGTGCAACACTACAATAACGAAGTAACGCTCTTGGGGTTGGTGTGGTGTGATGGAGTCCGGACGTCACTGAGTCCAGCCTGGGCTCTGTCATCGGGAGGCTGAGCGCGGGATCGCCCAAGCGCTGCAGGGATCAGGCCACGAGAGGAGCCCTGGGCTTGCTGCAGGAGTCCTCCAGCGAGCAGACGCTGGCTCTGCTGCAGGCCCTGTGGGACACCGGGGGGCCCCGAGGGAAGCATGCAAGGCCCTTCACCCCTTCGGGCTGCTACAGGGGTCACAGCGGGGCAGAGAAAAAGACTAACTGGACACCAAAACTTTGGGGGGGAGGAGTAAAAAAATGCCAGAGAATAAGGTAGTGAAGACCACATGAGCTTTTATACAGATAACAGTATGGTTAGAAAAACCGCAAGACAGCCCTTAACTACTAACCATCTGCCAGGAGCTGTCTTTGCCCAGAACTATATTGTGGGTCAGAATTGCAATGAGACATGCAAAGGCCTAGTTTAGGATTTCAACCAGCGAGCAAACCAGCGGAAAAAAATGACCTAAGACTGAATCAGCTAGCACAGAATTTGCCTCCTAGAATAAATTATGACTCACCTAGGGTGTAATTAGCTTTATCAACTGGATCTGAACCAGAGCTAAGCCTGCGCCATGCTGCGATTTGAAAAGCAAGCCACCACTTTCTGTCACCTGCAACAGTGAGAGTATTACAAATTGAGAGTATTACTGTTTTAAGCTGCAGGATTTTGTGAAGTGTCTTACCGGTGCCATAAAAAAAAATATTGGATTTTCTATTTTTTCCTACAGTACAGATTCAGGACATCACCCTTGATTACTGAAATGTTTAGGAGAATTAAACACAGCACAGCCAGTCTAATGAGGGGAAACTGTCTTTACCAGAGAGATGGGGTGAGTCTTCAGCTTCGTCCATGGTATCTGAAAACAGACAGGAAGAATGTTACAGTAGGTACGCAATCATACCTATGCTGAGGAATTAGTTTATTATTAACAGAAAAAAAAACAGTGCATATTTGCATTTAAATGCGCAAAGGTATTCTGCATTTATAATCAAAGCACATTTCTTGGCCACAGTAAGAACTCAATGGGCAAAAGCTAAGTGTTCACGGCAGAACAGTACCAGTATATTAAATAAGTTAACAATTCAAATGGGCCAAAAAGTAAACGTTTTTAAAAGGACTATTTTCTTGTATAATTGTAAAAGGGCAGCACGGCCGCTTCAGAGTGCCTGGGCTGGATTTCCCAGAGGCCTTTGGGGAGTGGGCAGCCTGTCTAGGAGATAGAAGGCAGATCCTCTGTGCCCCAGTCAGCACAGGGACTCAACCACAGGAACAAGAGTCTCGGAGAGAAACTGGAGCTCGTTTGTGGAGAGTCATCTCAATGAGTGACTGGAGAGTTTCGGGGAGAGACTGGAGCTCGCTGGGAAAAAGTCACATCACACATAAAGTTATAGGAATGTCACAGAGACATACAAAACTCCTCTGAAGCAAATTCTGACCCCATGCAAAAGAAATGCACGAATTGTATGCATCAGTGGTGAGGAAATATGTCAAGCTACAGTAGAAGAGGGTTTTCCATCCGCTATTGTCTGTGTGTAAGAATATGCACAGCCTCTAGAGCCCAATACCATATCACTCCTCCCTCATTAGGCGTGCTGTTATCTCAGGAGCACAGAAACCCTTTCAACAACTAATCTTTATGTGAATCACACTGCTGGTTTAATGACATGTCTTAATGGTAATCCCTCTTAGGCACAGCTATCCACTGACTCCTAGACTAATTGCCATGAATTAACATACACTGCAGGAGAGCTACTTACACAAATAACTGCTGTGTGGGTGAAAGACAGCGCAACACAGATCTGCACCCTGCTCGGCAGCATAATTCACAGCAATCAACACACACAAAAAAAAAACTCATCACTGTCCAGTGACAGCACTTACAACCTTCACAGCCAGTTTCATTTTCCTCCTCACACTGCCTGCACCATGATGCTTAACTAAATATGACCACTGGGAGTCCTTAAGAGAGCAAATTAAAAAAAAAAATAAGTGTGTAAAAATTAAAATCTAATTGTAAAAGAAGAACCAAACCTACTGAAGATAATTTTATGGCAAAGGAGGTGGTTAACTACAAATTACAACAGCTCCTTAGTCAGGGCTTGCTGGCACTTAAAATAATACGCCTGAAGAGTCAAACCCAGCTGATGTCAGGATGCTTCAAATCCCCAGCCAGCACTCCAGTGAGCCCAAAAGGGAAACAGAAGAGAGAGGAGGCTATACGGCCCATTGTGTAGGCCTGGCTGTAATTGGCTTCCAGATTTGAGTATCTCTACCAGCGACTTACTGGAGGAGCTTGGGGAATCTGTTGTTATGATAAGGAGAAAGGAGAGGAGACCATCTGGCACATGTGGCCTTTCTGATAGTTACGAGCTAACTGATCAGAGGATCTCCCCCAGCTGTTACTTGAAAGAAGCTAGGCTATCGGCGTCAACATTCATGACTGGGCAGCCTGTTCTGCAGTCCACATCATGGTGTACAGAAGCATCTCCTGCTATCAGGCCACTAATCTTAAACATCCACACCTGTATCCTCACGTCTGTGTCTGATATTCCTTTAAGGTCAAGAACTAATCTAATTGCACTTCTAGAGCACCTATGTTTTTCATAACGTAAAGGCCAAATTCATTATAAACAGCATTAGGAATGAGGAGTTAATACACTGCATGATCTTCAAACATGCAGTGACATTCCTACACAACTTCTGAAGTCTTACTTTACATAGATTAAGACAATGCAAACAGAAACCTCAGTTTCTTTTCCTAAGTTACTTTTCAAAATCAGGGCTTAACATCTTATACAAGTCAGATCCTGATCTCTTTATTTAATGTATACATTTCTACTTGAAAACTTCATTTGTCAGTTGCGTCCAGAAATTAATGTTTTCCAGGCCCTCTTGCTCCTCCTGAAATTAAGAAATCTATGAAGAGGCTACTTCCACAGCAGGTTATAAAACCGTGAACCGCTGCAAGCTTTTCGCACATCAATCTTGTACCTCACCGCCGGCATCTTCGGAACCGAAAACACACACCCGCTCTCATCTGGATCACCACTAAGTGGAACGCACTATTCTGAACTTGTATAGGAAGTGTTCTGCTCTTTACTCTGGGTGACATCTCATTCAGAATTCAAGCAAACGTTGAAAGACAAACAGGAAGAAATAGAAAATAAAATCCCATTCAACGCATAACAGAAAATGAATTCAGATACGCCGAGCCTTTTGACTGAAAGCAGACATTCTGACACGAGCGATGCCGCGGAGGGCCTCGGCACTGAGAGCTCATTGTGCCCTCCCCAGGGCTCCAGCATCCCCGCTGCTGCAGCGACAGCTTAATGAACACAGCGATCTGCCATGACCTCGTTAGGAACGTGGGCGCCGTGGAGACCGAGCCCACGGGGGTGCCGGCACCAGCTGCCGCCTCCGCCAGCGTCGCGGGACGTCAGCAGACGGTGCCCCACGAACGCAGCGCAGCGCAAATCCACCAAGCAGGCGGATACGGCAATGGAGAAGAGCTCTTCCGCAGCGACTCCTCTCCCCGCAGATCAGTCCGACTCCTCGGCCAGGACAGCAGACGTCAACCCCACTGATCTGGAGACAGAACACTCTCTGGCACACTCTTGTATTCCTGTGTTTTTAACCAGATCAAGTCAATGGAGGACAAATTCTCATCTACAGACCCACTGACAAAGGTGTCTGTGGGCAGGCATCTAGTGTTTCCCATGTAGATTCGGTGCACGTTCACCTGCTTTGCAATGAGAACCATTTTAACAAAACAGTCATCAGGTTCGGGGCTATTGCAGGAAAAGGGTGTTTCCCTACTTCCTTCAGGGATCATTTTTGTGTTTACCAATGCTCAGTTTCGTTTGCCGAATCCATCACTTGGCCCAAGACTTTTTGCAGTTCTCTCCCAGCTGTCTCCTGTGCCACTCCCATGATTCTTGTAACCCACACAATCTGAGCTACTTCGCCCCCTGCTGAAGTCTAAATCACTGAAAGAGATCAGGAAGAACAACAGACCTATACTGTAACAGACATCTGAGGAGAGATCCAACTGGGGAAACTATAACTTAAAACAGCTGGAATGGGGTATCTCCTACGTGACAGGAAGCCCGTGATTACATTTATATTTTCATCCATCATCACAATTTCCCAGTTACTAATGGGCTCTAAAAGACAACAGTCAATGTACAAGGAACTGAAACTCTACACTACAGCAATACACTTCTCCATCCGCACCTCCCTGGGTTTTACAGAGAATGTGTTTAATCGATAAGCCCAGCTGCTTAGTCATTTTGTAATTCTATTGTACGGTTTCTGCCCTCAGGGTATGTATTCTTCACAGATAAGGGCAGGAAGCCTGCTCTGGTTTCAGTCACCCATTGTGGTCCAAGAGAGCCCGAGAGAGAAGGTACAGTATGCACACACAGCACCCCCAACAGCACTGGTGACACCCTTACCTCTTCGCCACAATAGCTCAATTTAATGCTACTAATCAATGTTAACCAACAAAAAAACCTCTTACGGAAATCAGAAGTTATTTTCTGTTCCCTACGCCTGACAGAGAGTGGAGCTGGGAAAGAATCAGTTGCTCCATTCACTGTTCTGTCACTCAGCCAAAGCGCAGTTTTTCTCATTATTGCACGTCAAAGGTTCCTTGCTGCCTTCACTGAAAAATGAGTCAGCTGGCACCTTTCCTGCCAGGGCTGCAGTTGGACCTGACTTGGTCAATGGCCGCTAAACGCGTCTCTTTGCCTGCCTGTGCCCACAGAACCAGCTCTGCACAGGGCAGGACTGTGTCACACTGCAGTAAGACAACACTAAGGATTTCCGAACGGCACAATGAAGATGTGTGTGGAGGTATATAAATATACTGTGCATAAATACGCATTTACATATACATATATTGAGAAACAAAACTAGCTACTGAAATTCTATGATGAAGTTGCACCACAGTACAAGACAAAAGGATAACAGGTTTACTCCCACTTTCAGTTCAAAGGCTGCATTCTAACAGCATATCATAAATTCATTAAACTCATATAATGGTTTATCTTGTAATCAAAAATGTTTGCTTCCTTCACCTCCTCTCACCATCACGTGGTATTTTACAATCCTTATTCAATCCAAGAAAACATTCTACTGAAAACATCCACAGTATTGATAAAACCATTAGTAACACTTTACAAGTCACACTAACATGAGCAAGACTGGGCCTCTTTCACCAAAACTCCTTGCAGGAGTCCACTTGCTTGCAGGCATACAGAGTTCAAAGGCTGCAGAGCTTTCAGATATGGAAATGAACCTTTTCATATGACAGTATTCGTGGCACAATGATTTATTACTCAGTATTAGCAGTGTATAAGGTCCACAAGAGAAGCCTGTGTACTGGTCTAGCAGGGGTTTAAAAAGACATTAATGTGCTTAATTTTGCATATAACTGCATACCAAATAACACTGTGGTATAACCAACGGGCTAAATCAAAGAAAACATCAAGCTTTCCTTCTCTTTCCTTTTATTCCGAGATTAAGAATATACTTGAGGTACAAGGGACAATAAAAAATTAACAGCGGTTTTTGTCTTTGAGCTCCGCAGTTACTCACTGAGGAAAGGAAAGCTCTTGAAAGTGAAAGCAGGAAGGGAAATGGTTTTGCTTCTGTTCAGACAACGCGCTGCCTGCGATGGTTTCAGAAAACAAAGCAAGGCATGAAGCACAGCCTGCCTTTGACAATCCAGTCAACAGTAAACAAGCGGCCTGCGCCAGGTGTACCTACAGCTGCGCACGCGAGCATCAGTGGAAACGTTCTGTTCTGCCTTGTCTGACTCGGGGAAACGTCGTGATACAGCTCAGCCTGCCAGGACACTGGCCCCTGCAGAGCTGAAGGCCAAGAGCTTTACAAAAAATGAAATCGCCAGTTCATCTGCTTTTTATACCCCCAAACCCCAGTCTGGAATCACTGAATGTAACCCGATGGCCCTTCAGCCTGGAGAGATGAGGATGGTGCCAGACTTTAGGCTCTACCTTCACTCCTGAAGAGACCCACCCAGAAACCCCCCCGCTCCCACTTCCACAGCCTCGTAGCAAAAATGTCAAAAAGGCACAACCAGTCCTTGATTTACCAAGTCTTGTGGTTTTAGAAAGGAAGCAAATGACAAAATCCAGAGAGAAACTGTCTATTTGTGCACAACCACAAGAGTAAAACGTGGCGAAACATTCGAATTAGAAATGGCCCAGGATATAGACTACACTAAGAGCTCATTCAGTGCGTGCTTCCTAAGGGGGGAGAAATACTGTCTGAGGCTCCTCAGGCACATCAGCAGGTACCTGAAAACATGCATTAGCATCTTTAAGGCAGAAAGAAAACTGCGAGGTCTCCCAAGGGCCAGAACCCTCACTGGAGCGCAGGCGGGTGGGGTCAGCGCCCGGTCCAGCACGTCCCACAGCTGGCACAGCTGGAACAGCTCGGGCTCGGGCTTGCTGGGGCTCTCTGGGGGGGAACGGCGCCTCCTGCAGGCAGGCGCGCAGCGACGTCAGCGAGAGAGGTGCTGTCTACAAGCCCTCCTCTCAGGCGGGTCATGGATCCGCCGCCGGGCGTGTGGGGCGAGTGCCCCGAGTGCCCCGAGTGCCCACACCAATCGCGGCAGGGGAAGCTGAACCACCGGCACTTCCAGAGCGGGTGGAAATACACCAGAAACAGAACTGGAAAAAACAAATTCACCGGCCTGTCATCGGGGAGAAAGGTCGCGACAAAGGCAGACTTTGCTCTGGTTAGTCGCAACCTGAAGGATGCAGGAAGGAGCAGTGACCTTCGGCAGTATCTCCCACCATGCAGTTCTGTGCGCTGCCACGGGTGTCAATATCGGGCACACGCACAACGCAGCAGGCATGCAGGGTAGCTGCTGGACACAGTCCTTGTGTGCACTGCAGGCTCGCCAGCTCACAGAGTGGAGAGGAGTTCACATTCTCATGTCAGCAGATCACACTGAGAATTACTTTGTTTGCTGTAACCGACCACCTGAAATACTCACAGGTGTGCCTGATTAAAACATATAACGTTGTAGCATCAACCATAAACTGTATTCTGTCACTAAGGACCAACAAACAGCTCTGTTCGACAGCGTGACTGAGTCTCCAGTTAGCTCTCTAGACAAAGGAGCTTCTGTGTCAGAACACTTCTAGGACCCATTTCACAGAACATTTTTAAAATTACGCCCCGAATGGTCTGAAATGAAGTACACTACAGCTTTTAAAGTGGGTGTTATTTGGGAGTGATTTACAATCATTTCATTCAGAAACATAATGCACATTAAAGAGGACCGACCATATTTTACATTTCTGGTCGCTGTTCAAATGAGTTACGGTTTTGGTTTTAGCAAAATCTTTCAACTGCACACAGCTTTAGAATCTGACAGCACAGTGACACAAGACCAGCCCCAGTACGTGCTACAGTTCCCAGTGACGGCAACAGGAACAGCTCTGCAATCTTTTCACACACTGGTTATCTTCAGTCACACATCATTTTACTGCTGCAACCCATACTGTAGGGCTAGAAATGTTTAGGTGATGGGTAGTGGCAGCAAATAAGGTTAAAAAAGATTTATTTTGCTCAACAAAATAAATGTTCAATAAGTGCAAGAAATCACACACATTTCTCTTACACGGAAAAGGAGAATAAATTCAGGCCAGCACCTCAAACGATGGGGTTTTTAAGAGCTCTTCACAGACGACATACTAATATTGTGTGCAAAAAGAATAACTAAAAATAAAATTCAGGTGGGTAGCTGCGTCAGCATGCGTAGGCTACAAAGGAACAAGCAAAAGGTTTATTCCATGCTGAAAAAAAGAAGAAAAAAAACACAACGTTTCGGCCGTGGAGCCTTCTTCAGGTGTCACACCAATAAAAATAAAATTGATAGCTAAACAAAAATAAGCACTCACAACTCCAAACTTCAGCCTCACTGATCAAAGCCCAAATCCAGCGCTGTGCTGCAGGACTGTGCCCCACAGGGAAGAGGGACAAACAGTGTAACTGGGGTTTGCAGTTCTCAGTGCAGGCGAAGGTTCGAGGGGCTTAAACCAAAGGCAACTGCTACTACTCAACCCAAGTGAAAAGGAGGTCACCCTGGCACAGCAGGGAACATGTACAAGCATAAAATGAAGTATCAATAAGCTTAAGGTATGAACGCAGCCACACCTGGGTCAGTTACATGAGACTTCAGAAAATTAAATCAAATGTTAAGTGCTTAGAAACACATACTGCTTCACCCCCAACTTATGCTCTAACAACAGTGGTGGATTTAAAAATTAAGATAAACCTGACTTCCAAAAAACAGCTGAGTCTTACAGGCTCAACAACATTGACCTTCCCCTTCCTCAGATAATATATGCTAATCAGCTGCACTGCTGTATAAAAAGCCTCCACACTCTGAGTTGGTACTCCTAGGATGATTCTCCTCTGAGAACTAAAAAAACATTCACACTGAGGAAGACTACCGTGGCACCTAAAATCGGAAACCACCCCACCCCCCAAAAGCCATCTGTAAAGAGAAACGCTGTAGAGCAGGTAACTGGGGCACCTCACCCAGGTGTCCAGACCTTCACTCCAGAGAGCAGGTGAGCTTTCTGGTTCAGCCCCTGAATGCACCACACAAACCTGATCATTCCTGACAGGCAGGAGGAGAAACGGAAAAAAGCATCAAGAAGAAAACAGCACGCATGGCGGAGGCATGTCAAGAGACTCCAGATGAGCTGAATCAAACCCTGCCCAAGTCCGGCACA